GAGGCAGTCTGTTTCTGTAAAGATTTATAGCATTGAAATCCCAAAAGGGTTGCTATGAGTCAGAGTCGACTCGACAGCAGTGAATTTGGGTTGGTTTGTTGGTAGAAGGAAAAGAAGAAAAATTTTTTTTTTAAATTGTTTTTAGCCTCAGAATTGAGAAGATAACACATCCATTGAAGTAGTCTGTATGTTATATAAAGGGAACAATCATGATACAAGAAATTCTGAATTTGTCTAAATTCAATATTGAGTGGAAGTGTTAGAAAATAAACTTGAACAAATCTCCCAAAAAGTCAAAGAGATAGTCTGGGGGAAATAACAAAATTAGGCAACCATCCTAAGAAACAGCATTCAAGTAGAATCAAGTAGTAGGAATCCTAGAAAGACAAAACAGAGGGCAGCAATTATCCAAAAATTAATACAAAATATTCTCGGAACTATAAGGCAGTGGTTCCAAATTAAACATGCTTCTGAAAGTCCAGTATAATACTGACATACAAACTATAACACATGAGAAGGAGGCACATTACCATGAAGTTTTCAATATATGGAATATAGAAAGAATCTAAAGATTTCCAGGGAGAAAAGTATCAGGTCACATACAAAGAATCAGAAATTGATATTGAAATTCTGGAATTAGTAATTAGAAGAAAATGGAGAAATACCTTAAAATTTCAGAGGAAAAATAATTTCTCATCTGGAATTCTATATCTAGCCAAACTATGTATTGTTAGGGTAAAATAAAGATATTTTCATAGATGTAAGGTCTCAGAGTATTATGGTGGTTTTCTCCTTTCACAGGAGCTGAAGAATGAGGTAGTAAAATAAGAAGGAGCTACAAAATCCAGGAAATGGGAGCAAATTGAGAAAAAAGGAAAAGAGATGTTCTAGACTTACAGTAATTCAGCAGATTTAGAGAGCAAACAGTATCCTTGGATAAAGAGAGTGAATGGTGCAAGGAGAGATGTCTCCATAGAGAAGATGAACTGGTAGCTTCTGTGGTATTGAAAAATGTATTACTGGGAGTTTTATAATTCCCTTGGAGAATTTGGAAAGAATCTGTGATAGAGACATAGAAGGGTGAATGAACAAAAATATGAGGCAATTATTTTTTGGATGTCAGACATTCTTTGAATGAAAAATAATTATAAATTCCTTGAAATTACAATAAGAGAAGGGAGAGGAACAAAACTATGAAAGAATGCATATAGGTGAAAAAACAGTATTTTTCTTCCTGATATTTAAAATTGATAAATTAAGAAATTATAGTGTGATCATATATCTAGAAATGTGCAAATAGAAATCAGGAAAAAAAAATAAAATAAAATAGTTGAAAATGGGACTCAAGATAGAAAGTTGGTAAGATGGTATACTGCTGTTTTTTTATTACAGTTGTTGTAGTACAAGTTGATTTTTAAACTGTAGTCATGTATTACTTTGATAAAAATGTATGTGCTATATGCTAATTGTGATTAGTGTTATGAAGGAAAAAAAGGAGACTATAAAGGGAGTAATGAGA